TGTGCCTCCCAGAGAGCTGCCTGTTGCAGGACCCTATTCAACCCCAGTCCCAGTACGCAGTCTGCATGGGTGGGTGCAGAACCCAGGCTGGGCCAATCAGATCTTGTCCCTTTGGAATTTGACTTCTGAGTGATGGTTTGAGGAACAGACAGTGGGTGGGGCTGAGTCACCTGATAGTGCCACCCTGAAAGATAAAGTCCGTAGACTCCTGTCCCTAAATTTACTATTGCCATCTTTCTGAATGCTTGCTTGTTCAACTTTTCACTCCCTGAGCTACCTACTAGTGTTTTCCAAATAAATGCCCATTTCTGGCTTAAGTTGGTCAGAATCAGTTTCTGTTGCTTGCAACTAAGCATGCTAACTCCTAGTTTCTGGTTTACACCAATCAGGCATTCTGTGATTTCCCGGATCCTCGAATGGCCAGGCAGTAACTGGGTGAGTCTTGGGTTGCCAAGAAGGACTCTGGAATACTGTCTTCTGGGTACATGGTACAGATGACTTGAGGTCAGGCCCAGGTGAAAGGTTAGATGGGGCACCCCAACAGAGCTTCGAGGTAATGGAGTCTGTAAATCTAGGACCTCTCATGGCAGAGTTGTCTCTGCATGAAAATCCACCTGGCTTTCACTGGTCCCTCTTGTCCAGCCTACTGAAGCCCACCCTTCTCTCAGCCTTGGTGGCCCAGCAAGGAGAAGAAGAGTATGCTATAAGGAAGAGCTGAAATTGCAAAGACACCAAAGCTGATTGAAGGACCTGCTCCTGCAGAGAAGGGGTAGCCTGGAGCAGAAGTTAAATTTTGGCAATCCATTGTCAAATTCTGGAATCGACCTGATCATCTTAGAGTAGTGGTTTTCTTTTCCTTTTAATTTCCTTCCTTCCTTCCTTCCTTCCTTCCTTTGTTCTTTCTTTCTTCCCTCCCTTCCTTCCTTCCTTCCTTCCTTCCTTCCTTCCTTCCTTCCTTCCTTCTTTCTTTCTTTCTTTCTTTCTTTCTTTCTTTCTTTCTTTCTTTCTTTCTTTCTTTCTTTCGAGAGACAGAAAGTGCACGATTGGGGGGGTGGGGAGAGAGAGAGAGAAAGAGATTGAATCCCAAGCAGGCTCCTTGCTGACAGCACGGAGCCTGACATGGGACTCAAACCCACAAACTATGAAATCATGACAAGAGCCAAAACCAAGAATTCCACGCTTAACCAACTAAGCCACCCAGGTGCCACTAGAGGGGTGGTTTTCAAACCTACTCTCCATAAGCTGGTTCAGATCTTGGTTCCATGGTCGGCATCTCCCCAGGCCAGTTCCATTCCATCAAGGTGTCCAGTCCTGGTTCCCAGGACCCCCTGCATAGTCTCCCCTCAGCCCTGCTTGTCCAACACAAGGGCTTGGACACTGAAAAACAAAGATAAGCTGAAGGGGTCAGCAGAAGCAGTTAGTTACAGGAGCATATAGAGAAAAGATTTTTATTATGACTTCTGGTAACTAGCTCCAAAATCCTGCCAGTGCTCTACAAGAGTGAACTAAAAAAAAAGTTAATAGTATGCTGAGCTCTGGAAGAGAAAAGCAGGATTCAGCTGAAGAGGAAGAAATAGATTTTTTAAAAATGTATTTCATTGTATTCTGTTTAAATGTATTTATTTAAATGATTCTTAACATTGTATGATTACAGATGACAAATCACATGCTGAAGACTTTCAAAGTTGGGTGGTTTTTTTTTTTTTTTTAAGTTTTTAGACTGGTGTTTGAGAACAGGAATCAGCAAACTTTTTTTTTTTTTTTTTTGCCACGGGTCAGGTAGCAAATTGTTTTAGGCTCTGTGGGCTGTCACAACCATTCAGCTCTGCCGTTCTAACTCAACAGCAGCTTTAGAGAGTATCTAAGTGAATGGGCATGGATATGTTCCAATAAAATTCGTTTACACAAATAGGCAGTGGGCCAGATTTAGCCTGAGTCACAGTTTGCCAACCCCTGTTTTCTAACTCAGTTAGATAAATGGAGATTCCATTAAGTATGAGTATGGGAATTATTGAGACCATGAAGTCACAAATCAAGAGCAACTATCCACTTGAGGTGGTTCTCCCAAGATGCACATACCAAAATTTGAAGTAAGTGATTTTGCAGATCCAAGCCTGACAGTCTGTAACTCCAATTTTTCATGAAAAAAGTCAGGACTCAATAGAGATGTAGGAAACCCACACTCCAAGGGTAAAGACTGGTTTCTTGACCTTCCAGATCAAGAGTATATGAAATTAGATATTCACTTGAGTAAAGCATCTCATAGACAACTCGCCTTGAAACTGCTTCCCCATTGCTCTCTTGGATTACTCGTACCGCATTTTAGACAGTTAATTCTGTTGTGTAAAAATATATGGAGGATACTAGTGTTGGGATAAATGTGCACATGGGTGCTTGCTGTGGATCATTATGGTTCACTGAGGAAAATGAGGGAAGGCTAAATGGGTCTGCATAGCAAAACCAAGAGCTACACCTTCAGTTTCGTTTGACCTTTTCTTGAGAAACCCAGTTGGCTTCCTTCATTCTCATTGTCAGGTGTGAATTGCCTCACGGCTATCCTCTTCGCATATTCCCTCCTATAGTAGCCAATTGCCAATTTCTCTGCAGTGGTGCAAAGGTTCAGGTCAAGCCTTCCTGCATAGCCTACTCCACACACAAAGATGGTGCATCCAGTGGGACCATCATGCATTATGTATGGAGAAGCCTGGTGCCTTTCTCCTCCCAAAGTACCTGGGCTTGAGGAACTGCCTCAAATTTGGGATTCGATGTTTAGGTGTGAAAATGTACTGGAAGAGATTTCATTCTTTCATGTGTCTGAGGAAAGATCATGGGTTCCCAGACAGGCCCCATATTCTTAAATTCCTCTATTTGAGCTCATTATTAGAATGTGATTTTCATAACTTGAAACACAAGGGTTATAAATAGTCATGAGTACATGTGCTCACTGTGTATTGAGAGCTTCGAGCTGGTGTGTGTATGGGATGGCAGGAGGATTCCAGATGGGGAGGGAGGGCAAGGCCACCAGCTAGGGCAGCTGAGACTGTCGAAGAGTTATGGAATACCACAGTAGCTTCAGGGTAAGCGATGGTAGCAGACGCCAGGCCAGGCTGAGGTCCCAGAGTCTGTAGAAGTAACTCCTGAGGGGTGGAAGGTAGAGGAGAAGGAGAAGTTCTGGCTTGTTTCCTCATCTGAATTGCTGAGGGCTGTGGGGACTCCATGGACAGCAGCAGTGGCCACAAGCCAAAGGACTTATATGAGGAACCAGACAAAGAGTGTCAGGTACAGAAAAGAGGACTTAAAGAGAAAGGAAGATTCTGGAACATACTGTATAGGCAACCCAACAAAGTGGGTAACAGGAGACCATCTTTCTGCTTTACCTCCATTGTGTGTGGCTCAGGATTTTACCTCATATGTGGGGAAGTTTAACTGTATACCTAAACAGTCACCAGGGAGAGGAAAAAACATAGCCTAGAAAGGCAGGACCTTCAGTGTGGGGAAGATAGAGTATTTGAGAAGTCCTCTTCTTCCATGTTCTCCCAGAAGGTGACAGGGAAAAGACATGTCTGACACGAACCCAACTTTGCCCACGCCCCCAGGGTCTGTGAGGGTAGGGGTTGTGGTGGGCAGTAGAGGCAGCTCCCCGTGCTGCCCCACACCCTCTGGGTCTTCCTGGAGCAACGAAGCCTGTGCTGCTTAGTACAGAGACCCACGTGAATGGTGGCACCCACCCTCTGTGTTCGCCTCATGACCTGCCCAGCTCACAACTGCACATTTAGTGTGTTCGGGGAAACCCAACAGAGGTGGGAATCCACACTCTCCTGAAGCTAAACCGTCTCACTTTCACTTCTGAGGTGAACTTGTGGTCCCCAGGTGCCATTTGTAGAGAAGCCATGTTCCCCTTCAGGGACAGTGTGGGGAAGTCTACTCTGTGGCCCTTTCCCCTGGAGCCTCTCATCCTTTACATCTTCAGACCCAGAGGGCATGTCTCCATGAGCACTGCCCTGGCCTCTCCAACCTGTGGAACAAGACTGTCTGGGTTTTGAACTTCACCTTGGGCAAAGAGCTTAACAGGCCCATCACCATCTTAATCTGTAAAAAAGTAATGTGACCGCTAGTTTGTTGTGGATGTTAAATAAGGACAGACCAAAAAAGGTGTAGCACAGTGTACACAGTGAAGTATTCCGTAAGGTCAGCTACTTACCGCTGGCTTTTCTGTCACAGCCCACATCAGGTTTGTCCCCTCCCTTGTCAAATACCTCACTGTTGCATTTTTTTCAGGACTTCCCCTTGGACCAATTCCCACAGACATCTATGTGCATCCAACCATGTGTTTCCCAAACCTTAGGACCCAATGCCACCTATCCCAGAACATTCCACCATCAGGAGTAGCCAGTAGTTGGCTTGCTTTGGACTTCACAGAGTGGGGCTTTATTCGGAGGTTTTGAGGAGGGCCCTGTGCAGAACAAGATACATTCCCCTGACTTCTCTCTCTCCAAAGTGGGTTATTAGACACTTCTGGGTGTTGGGGAGATACACACCTAAGGATTAGAAGCATGTTTTCTCAGGTTCTCATCCGAGGGTTTTGCTCTCCCAAAGTCTCTTGGCAGTTTCTCCCAGATCCACAGCAATGCCTTTTGTTTTGTGATGATTTCATTATTACCTCTCAGGGGCCCCGCTGGCTGGACTTATTTTCTCAGTGCTTCACATTCCCGTTCAACTAGTCACCAAGAACTAACTTGAAAAAAACTGCAAAGCCTGTGCAATTCAGGCCAGAGCCTCACCCTCACACCCTTCCTCTCCTTCCTCCCAGAATCAGACTTCCAGTAAGTGCTGTCATGCCACTCCCTGAGAGCCTGTGCCTGTTTCCCGTAGTGCCTGTAGAGGATCATTAACTTCCCCCGCACTTACTCAGACTTAATTATGAAACATTCGCTGCACTTGAATGCACCTTGACCTCCTGTGGTGATTGGAGGGGACAGGAGGGGAAGTCTGGAAGCCCCACCCTGCCCAGAGCCAGCCCGGGAGCCCTGTCTTTCTCTGTCTCTTACAATCTTGGCTGGTGGTGAGACATTAATCTCTTCCAACTGGAGCAGCTACACTTTGTTTTCGTCCTGAGAGGAGGCCAAAAGGAGCCGGCCCCAGGGAGCCATGGCCTCTACTATCACCAGCATTCCGGAGCATTCCGAAGATGTGGTGAGTGCCCCTTGGCGAGTGCCCCCAAGAGAGAGGGGGAAATATAAGAGGGGAGGGGGCAGAACGAGAGAAAGGGGCCTGGAGGGGTCCCCAGCAGGAGTCTCAGCGTCCTCATTCATTATTCATGCTCTTGACGGTGGCTCAGACCAGATTTTAGTCTAAGTCTAAATCTGGTCTAGACCAGATTTTAGATTATTAGACAGGAGAGCAGCTGTCCTCGAAAGCTTGCCATCGTGAGGCCAAGATCCCCACCCAGGTGCTAAACTCTGTGAGTCAATTCTCGAAAGCAACGAGGACACATTGGAAGATCACCTTAGTTTTACCTTTATTCACAGGTTGGCCTCTGCTGAATCTAAGTATTTTCCCCCCGAGGTTTCTCAGTGTTACAATCTCTTTGAACAGGACTTTCTGAAACAAAGCAAGGGGAAAGAGAGAGGTCTGCAGAGAGAGAGAGAGACAGAGAGAGAGAGAGAGAATATTTACCCAACAACCAATATGCCCCCCCCACCCCCCACCCCCCCGCACTTTACGGGCTTTATTTTCTTCCTTCCAAGCCAATGATGCAGGGGCTTCTGTTCCCAGATGAGGAACCCGAGGCACAGAGAAGCAGAGTGACAGTAACCCCTTTGGAGGTTTCTCTGGTCGGCCTCGAGCCCTGACCCCACCACCTTTCAGACTGATTTTTTTTTTTAATTTTTAAAAAGTGTTTTATTTATTTCTGGGAGAGAGAGAGAGAGAGACAGCGTGAGCAGGGGAGGGTCAGAGAGAGGGGGAGATACAGAGTCTGAACCAGGCTCCAGGCTCTAAGATGTCAGCACAGAGCCCGACACGGGGCTCGAACCCATGAACTGTGAGATCATGACCTGAGCTGAAGTCAGATGCTTAACTGACTGAGCCACCCAGGCGCCCCATCAGACTGATTTTTGACCACATAACAGGGCAGGCCCAGTGGAGATGCTCTGATCTCACCAGTGCCCGCCACCAGCTCCCTGCCTGGGGCTGGGGCCCAGGGTGTCTGTGGATGGGTGTCACCCGTGACCCTCGGCTGGGCTCTCAGGGCTGCCAGACCCTTGCCCACCGCTGCTCAGCCTTCTGGGCAAGAGGCCCTTGGCGGTCTCTTCTGGAAAATCATGTGAGGCCCCTGAGAGAACTCCCTTCATTTCTCTTCAGGATTCTTTCTGCCGCTACATCAGGCAAACAAAACAAACGCCTTGGAAAGAAATCCAAGACTCCCACCCTTTGGCTTCGTGGAGGCGACCTGGGGGCCGCGGGTCTGGACGCGTACCCACCCCTCTCGCCCGTGGCCTGTGCTCCCTTCCTTAGCAGCGCCCATGTTTCTAGGATGTTTTTGGTTTCACATTGCAGTTTGCCCTGCTAGAAACTTAGGGAGACATTAACAAGGAGAAGACAGCTTCCCGACTCTGAAGGCTTATGGCCCAGCCAGGGGAAGGCCGGATGCACAGAGATGTCTCTGCACGAGAGAGAAAACGGCACATTATGTAACGGAGAGACACAGCGTGCTGGGAGGCACTGGGAGAAAAATCATCTGGGTGGAGGAGGTCAGGAGAGGTGGTGGGGAGGAGGCAGGGAGCTCTTGAGAGCAGGAAATGGGGAGGGGAGGCAGGGAGCTCAAGCTGCGAGCGCAGGGGGAGCTAAGGCCCTGATGCAGGATGACAGGGGGCCACATTCGGAGAGACCTGGACACCCCCAGTGGCCAGAGCCAGGTAAATCGGGGTTAGGAACGCACCTGGAGGGTGGGGGAAGGGAAGGTGTGGGGGGTGTGAGTGGAGTCGGAGGGGCAAGGGACCCCCCCCTTCCTCCCAGGAACTGCACCTTCCCGCTCCTGCTGTCCTTGCACTGGGGGGAGTCCGGGCAGCTCCGAGGAGTCAAGGAGTCGGCGTTGCAGTCACTCACATTTGCACGCTCTGTCCAGTCATTCGGTCTATACTGAGCACCAGCACCGACTGCTCTCGAAGCTGGGACGACACCACCGAGTGCGGCCCGGTTGGTGCACTCTAGGAGCTCACAGCCCCACAGAGGGGATGGCTATGGTAACTGTCCAGTACACACTTCACACGCAGGCCCTGCTGAAGACGGGGAATGTAGAAATTCACTGGTCTTTTGAGTCTGGACCTAGAAATCCCAAGCAGGCCATCCGTTACCGCTGTGGCAGTGCCTCCCAGCTCTCCGGTTGAAATCAGGAAGTCCTCTAGTTCCTCTTGAAATGCCCTGATGTGGGGCACCTGGATGGCACAGTCAGCTAGGCATCCGACTCTTGATTTAGGTCCAGGTCATGTTCTCATGGTCATGAGATCGAGCCCCATGTCTGCACTGACTTGGAGCCTACTTAAGATTCTCTCTCTCCTTCTCCCTCTCCCTCTCTCTCCTTCTCTCCTTTCTCTCTCTCTGTGTCTCTCTCACTTTCTGTCTCTCAAAAAAAAAAAAAAAAGAAAAAAGAAAAAAAGACACCCTTATGTGCCCTTCTCTTGTTTGCAGCAGAGGGAACACGATGTGCTCAACTGTCACAATGACGGCCAAGACAGGAAGAAGGGTGGGCAGTCCAGAAGCGCCAGCAGCAACAACCTGGTCTATGGCATCCTGGACGTCCCCCCCTGGTACCTCTGCATCCTCCTGGGGATCCAGGTAATGCCACCCAGCAGGCACTGCATCCAAAGAGGCTCTGCCTCAAAAGCGACATCAATACACACCCAGGTCAGATTAGCCAAGATCCACAACTTCAGGCACTGATAACCTTGTCTTCCATGTAGTTGACCTCCAGGGCAACTCAGCTCCTCATCTCTCTTTCCCTCAGGTGTGGGGGGTGAGAAATTAGGGGAGGATCCTCCCTCATGTTAAGCGGATAGGTCACATCAAGGACACTGTGTCATTTTTTTCATCAAGATACCAATTTCAATTTACTTCATTTGCAACAGCTAAAAACTATGGTAACCGTGCTTGGGGAATTTGGGGAAACGAGTACTCTCAAAGACTTCTGTTGGAACACTATTTAATGCAGCCTTTCTGGATGACAATTTGGTAGTTTCTATCAACATGTAAATCATACACCCCCGAACCCAGGGCTTAAGAATTTCTCTGTGGCTCTATTGGCAGGACTTGTTAAGATAAGTACAAATGTGTTCTTGAAACGTTACTGGTAATAGTAACCTCAAACCACACAACAAACAAACAAAACCTTAGAATATCCTTCAAATAAAATTAAGTATTAATTAAATATTAATAAATATTAATTAAATATCCTTCCAAAAAAAACAAATAAAAATAACTCCAAAATGTCCTTCAAAGGAAACTGGCTAACAAATTCTGACACATCTTAACAAATAAGTTTTTTACACAGAGAAGAGACAAGAGGAAGATATGTATTTATCTTGCAGTTAGAGAATATTCCCCAATATATAGTAAGTGAAAAAATCAAAGTAAGTAACTGTGTATAGAGTGTTATCTTGTGTGTGTGTGTTGGAAAAAACCGGGAGATGGAAAGACAGAAGTGAGTATATGCAGTAGGTTGGGGGTTTGAAGGATTCATAAGAAACTAATAAAGGTCATTCACCTCTTTGGTTAGATTTATTCCTAGGTATCTTATTACTTTATGTTCAGTTGTAAATGGGGTTATTTTCTTAATTTCTCTTTTTGTTCCTTCATTATTGGTGTATAGAAATGCAACAGATTTCTGTACATTGATTTTGTATCCTGCGACTTCACTGAATTCATGTATCAATTCTAACAGTTTTTTAGTGGAGTCTTTCAGATTTTCTTTATATAGTATCATGTCATCTGCAAACAGTGAAAATTGTACTTCTTCCTCACCAATTTGGATGCCTTTTATTTCTTTTGGCTGTGCAATTGCTGAGGCTAGCACTTCCAGTACTATGTTGAATAAAACTGATGAGAATGGACATCCTTGCCTTGTTCCTGACCTTAGGAGGAAAGCTCTCCATTTCCCCCCATTGATGATGATATTAGCTGTGGGTTTTTCTTATACGGCCTTTATTATGTTGAAGTATATTCCCTCCAAACCTACTTTGTTGAGGGTTTTTATAATGAACAGCTGTTGTACTTTGTCAAATGCTTTTTTCTGCATCTATTGAAATGATCACATGGTTCTTATTCTTTCTTTTATTGATGTGATGTATCACATTGATTGATTTGAGAACACTGAACCACTGTTGCAACCCAGGAATAAACCCCACTTGATCATGGTAAATTATTTTTTAAATGTATTGTTGAATTTGGGTTCCTACTATTTTATTGAAGATTTTTGCGTCTATAATCATATTGGCCTGTAGTTCTCTTTTTCAGTGACATTTCTATCAGGTTTTGGTGTCAGGATAATGCGGGCTTCATAGAATGAATTTGGAGGTTTTCCTTCCTTTTCTATTTTTGGAATAGTTAAAAAATTACAAATATTAACTCTTCTTTAAGTGTTTGATGGAATTTACCTATGAAGCCATTTGGCCCTAGAGTTTTGTTTGTTGGGAGTTTTTTGGTTACTAATTCAATCTATTTGCTAGTTATCAGTCTGTTCAAATGTTCTATTTCTTTCTAGTTTCATTTGGGTATTTTAGATATTTCTTGGAATTTATCCATTTCTTCCCAGGTTGTCCAATTTGTTGGCATACAGTTTTTCATAATATTCTGTTACAGTTGTTTATATTATGTAGTGTTGGCTGTTATTTCTCCTCTCTCATCTGTGATTTTATTTATTTGAGATCTTTCTTTTTTCTTTTTGATAAGCCTGGCCTGAGGCTTATCAATTTTATTTTTATTTTTTCAAAGAACCAGCTGCTGGTTTCATTGATCTGTTTCATTGGGTTTTTTTGTTTTTTTTTTTTTAGTTTATCATTTATTTCTGCTCTAATCTTTATTATTACCTTTTTTTCTGCTGGTTTTAGGCTTTGTTTGTTGTTCTTTTTCTTGCTGCTTTATGGTTTAGGTTAGGTTAACCATTTAAGATTTTTCTTGCTTCCATTTAAAAAAAATTTTTTTTAATGTTTTATTTATTTTTGAGAGAGAGATAGAGATAGCATGAGCAGGGGAGGGTCAGAGAGAGAGGGAGACACAGAATCTGAAGACAGGCTCTGGGCTCTGAGCTGTCAACACAGAGCCCGACACAGGGCTTGAACCCACCAACTGTGAGATCATGACCTAAGCCGAAGTTAGACACTTAACCAACTGAGCCACCCAGGCGCCCCTCTTGTTTCTTGAGGTAGTCTTGAATTGCTATATACTTCCCTCTTAGAACCACTTTTGCTGAATCCCAAAGGTTTTGGATTATTGTGTTTTCATTTTCATTTGTTTCTTTTATTTCCTGGTTGACCCATTCACTGTTTAGGAGCATGTTATTTAACTTCCATGTATTTGTGATCTTTCCAGATTTTTTTCTTGGGGTTGACTTCTAGTTTCATAGCACTGTGGTCAGAAAACATGAATAATAGGACTTGGATCTTCTTGAATTTGTTGAGGCTTGCTTTGTGGGCTAAGATGTGATCTATTCTGGAGAATGTTCTGTGTGCACTTGAAAAAATTGTGTATTCTGCTTAAAACAGCATGGAATGTTTGGAATATATCTGTTAAATCCTTCTGTTCCAGTGTGTAATTGAAAGCCATTGGTTCCTTGCTGATTTTTGATTTAGGTGATCTGTTTATTGATATAAGTGGAGTGTGAAAGTCCCTTACTATTATTGTATAGTTACTAATTAGTTCCTTTATGTTTGTTATTAACTGTCTTTATTTATTTGGGTACTTCTATGTTGGGTACCTAAATATTTACAATTGTTGTACCTTCTTGCTAAATAATCCCCTTTATTATTATATAGTGTCCTTTGTTGTGTCTTGCTACAGTCTGTTTTAAAGTCCATTTTGTCTGAAATAAGTATTGATACTCTGACTTTCTTTTGACATCCATTTGCATGATAGATAATTCTCCATCCCCTACTTTCAATTTGCAGGTGTCTTTAGGTCTAAAATGAGTCTCTTATAGACAACATATAGAGGGGTCTTGTTTTTTAATTCATTCTGTCACCCTAGGTCTTTTGATTGAAGTGTTTAGTCCATTTGCATTCAAAGTAATTTTTAAAAATTTTTAATGTTTATTTAGTTAGTTAGTTTTAGTTTTTTTATTTTTAAATTTACATCCAAATTAGTTAGCATACAGTGCATTAATGATTTCAGGAGTAGAAACCAGTGATTCATCCCCTACATATAACACCCACTGATCTACCCAACAAATGTCTTCCTTAATGTCCCTTGCCATATAGCCCATCCCCCCAACCACAACTCCTCCAGTAACCATTAGTTTGTTCTCTGTATTTAAGAGTCTCTTAGGTTTTCCCCCCTCCCTGTTTTTATATTTTTTGTGCTTCCCTTCCCTATCTTCATCTGTTTTGTATCAAATTCCACATATGAGTGAAGTCACATGATTTTTTCTTTCTCTGACTAACTTTGCTTAGCACAATATCCCCTAGTTCCATCCTCGTAGTTGCAAATGGCAAGTTTTCATTCTTTTTGATTGCCGAATAGTACTCCATTGCATACATATACACCACATCTTTTTTTCTTAAATAGTTTATTGTCAAGTTGGTTTCCATATAACACCCAGTGCTCATCCCAACAAGTGCCCTCCTCCGTGCCCATTAACCCCCTTCCCCTCTCCCCCTCCCCCATCAGCCCTCAGTTTGTTCTCAGCATTCAAGAGTCTCTCATGGTTTGCCTCCCTCTCTCTCCCCAACTATTTTTCTCCTTCTTCTCCCCCGTGGTCCTCTGTTAAGTTCCTCCTAATCCAACTATACTTGCAGACATATGGTAGCTGTCCTTCTCTGCCTGACTTATTTCGCTCAGCGTAACACCCTCAAGTTCCATCCATGTTGCTACACATGGCCAGATTCCCTTCTTTCTCATTGCCATGTAGTATTCCATTGTATAGATAAACCACATCTTCGTGATCCATTCGTCAGGTGATGGACACTTGGGCTCTTTCCATGTTTTGGCTATTGTTGAGAGTGCTGCTATGAACATTGGGGTACATGTGCTCCTATGCCTCAGCATTTCTGTATCCCTCGGGTAAATTCCTAGCAGTGCTACTGCTGGGTCATAGGGGAGTTCTGTTGTTAGTTTTTTGAGGAACCTCCACACTGTTTTCCAGAGGGGCTGCACCAGTTTACATGCCCACCAACAGTGTAGGAGGGTGCCCGTTTCTCCACATCCTCGCCAGCATCTATAGTCTCCTGATTTTTTCATTTTAGCCACTCTGACCAGCATGAGGTGGTATCTCAGTGTGGTTTTGATTTGTATTTCCCTGATGAGGAGGGACGCTGAGCATTGTTTCATGGGTCTCAGCTATAATTTGTTCAAGGACTCCTTCAGTGCCTTTCCCTCTTTCATCCTCTTCTGGAATTCCTATGATATGGATATTGTTCCATTTGATTGCATCACTCAGCTCTCGAACTCTCCTTTCATGTTCCTGGATAAGTTTATCTCCCTGTTACTCGGCTTCCTCTTTTTCTGTAATTGTATCTTCTAATTCACCCATTCTCCTCTCTGCCTCTTCAATCTGTGTGGACGCCTCCATTTTATTTTGCATCTCATTTATAACATTTTTTAATTCATCACAACTGTTTTTAAGCTCC